ACACACACACACACTTCGTCTTCCCGACACACACAAACACAAGTTAGCGTGAACCCACACACATACACACAAACACACACACACACACACACACACACACTGTGTCTTCCCGACACATACAAACACAAGCGTGAACCCGCACAAACAAACAAACACACACACACAGGCCTGCGCGCGCACAAACACACACACAAACGTGCCATTTCTTGCTTACCCAGTTGGCAGATGTACGGGTAGCTGTTGCTGCATGGTTTGATGTACCAGCGAGGGGCCCGCTTGGGTTTTTTCCACAGAGTCACACAATCCCTGATCTTGTGCGGAGCCGTGGACTTCCACCTGTTGAAGGCTCCCAGAGGGGTTCCGTCGTTCCAGAGGTAAACGTTCTCGTCGTTAATGTCATCCAGGCCAATCCAGAATCGCCTGAAACAAGAAATCGGGATATCGGATTACTGAAGTCTGAGATCGACCTTTGACCCCCTGTCATTCTGTCTTTTGATCTTTCCCCACCCATGTGCCTTGGACAAACTGATGCACAGCCACTAAAAACAGGGTTAGGGTTAGGGCTAGGGCTAGGGTTAGGGTTAGGGTTGGGTTAGGGTTAGGGTTAGGGTAAGGGTTAGGGCTAGGGCTAGGGTTAGGGCTGGGTTAGGGTCAGGGTCAGGGTCAGGGTCAGGGTTAGGGTTAGGGTTAGGGTTAGGGTTAGGGTTAGGCTTGGGTTAGGGTTAGGGTTGGGTGAGGGTAAGGGTTAGGGTTGGGTTAGGGTTAGGGTTAGGGTTAGAACCAATAGGTCCCGGGTCCAATACTCACCGTGGCCCGACGCTGTGCCCTTGGGAAAGGCACTTTACACTACTTCCCCACCATGTACGCTGGAGTGACGCCCACTGGGTCTCTTAGGCTTATTGTCTAATTAACTGGGTGCCCAAAACACCCTACGGATTTGTTGCGTCAATGTGTGAACATCAGCACATTTGCGACCGAGAGCCGGTAATTTTTTCTTTCTTTTTACCTTTCTCGTCGGCCTTTCACACTCTTCCTCTTCAGGTGGTTCATGATGAATGTATGGGTGGCGCTGTCCTTGATCATAATAAGCGTGCCCCCGTGACTTTGGCAGGCTTGTAGGGCCGCTGCGTAGGTCAGGCGCTGATGACGGTTGGAAGACCAGAAACAGTGGCCCTGGTGGAACCCAAAATTGCTGGCAGGCCGGAGACCGGAGTACGCTGTGGCACAATCTGTGACACAAAATGTTGAAATGTTCATTCCATCACAAGGATTACTTCTTCTTCTTATCCGAGTTTTACGTCTATTGCTTCCCCGAATCGGGGGTATAGATGTGCTTGCACAGGTGCATGTTTGGGCTTGTCATTTTGCCCCTCAGCATGCTGAGGTGCACAACAGCAAGCCTGTGCAAGTCTTTTTGAAGCAAGGTTTTTACTGACTGGATGCTCTTCCTAATGCCAAACTCTAAAGTTTTTGACAGCTTTCAGAGACTGGCTGTATGAGAAAATGTGTGTTAAGTGCCTTTCTCAAGGGCACAACATCGGGGTATGTAGTAGGTGGATTTGAACCCAGGGCCCCTGGGTCCCGGGCCGAAAGCCCTACCACTACACCACATGACGCCACACAGAGATCAAATTTCACTGTCGCCTTCATGAGGACAAATCACTTCAAAACATAATCTCTCAAGAGTTCGTGTGACCTTATTCCCCCGAGACTTTTCATGTACAGATTCATGTTGGTCACACCCACCGTTCGATATATATGAACACGAAAGATTAAGTTTAATATAATAATTATGCAAACACACACATACAGATATACATGTACATCCCCTGAAAACATAGCCATTTTGGCAAAGGTAACAGCCCAACTTACCATCGCAGGTGAAGCCATCGGCATTCAACACGTAGCCGGTAGTGCAAGAGCAGGTGAAGCTTCCGACGTTGTTATTGCACGTTTGTGCACACCCACCGTTGCTATTGGCGCATTCGTCGACATCTGAAACAAAAGACATTTACCTAAGAAGCAAGTTTTAAAAAAGTGTTTCTGAGTGTCTCAACCCCTTTTTGAGGTACTCTCTTTCAATGCAAGGATTTGACAAAAGACGCTCTTGCGGTTATAGAACAAGCTGCTAGGGGGCCAGAATATATGCCTCTTCTTCCCGAGCACATTGTCTACCAGCCAAAAATCATGACAATAGCATGTCCAAATCACGAGATATCAAAACAACCAAACGTTTCGCTTCAGTACCACAAAACTCGGCCTAAGGACACAAAATTTATTCATTTGGAATTTTTCTTTCAACCTACGAACATGGCAAATATCATTAAGATTGAAGACCCCTCTATGACTTCCCGAGCTATGTTGTTCACAGGAACACAACCCCCCAAAAACATAACCTTCTTGGCAAAGGTAACAGCCCAACTTACCATCGCAGGCTAAGCCATCTGCATTCAACACGTAGCCGGCAGGGCAAGAGCAGGTGAAGCTTCCGACGCTGTTTGTGCACGTTTGTGCACACCCACCGTTGCTATTGGCGCATTCGTCGACATCTGAAACGAAAGACATTTAAATAAGTACCAAGATGTTTTTTTCTTTTAACCTGCGAACATGGCAAATATCATTAAGATTGAAGACCCCTCTATGACTTCCCCCAGGCACACAACCCCCGAAAACACCTTCTTGGCGAAGGTAACAGCCCAACTTACCATCGCAGTTCAAGCCATCGGCATTCAACACGTAGCCGGCAGGACAAGAGCAGGTGAAGCTTCCGACGTTGTTATTGCACGTTTGTGCACACCCACCGTTGCTATTGGCGCATTCGTCGACATCTGAAACAAAAGACATTTACCTAAGTAGCACTTTAAAAAAGTGTTTCTTGTGCATCAACCTCCCTCTTGAGGTACTCTCTTTCAATTGAAGGACTTGAAAAAAACGCTCCTGTGGTTACAGAACAAGCTGCTAGGGGGTCAGAATACGTCTCTTCTTCCCGAGTACATTATCTACCAACCAAAAATCATGACCAAAGCATGTACAAATCACGAGATATCAAAACAACCAAACGTTTCGCTTCAGTACCACAAAACGCGGCCTAAGGACACAAAATTTATTCATTTCGAATTTTTCTTTCAACCTACGAACATGGCAAATATCATTAAGATTGAAGACCCCTCTATGACTTCCCCCAGGCACACAACCCCCGAAAACACAACCTCCTTGGCAAAGGTAACAGCCCAACTTACCATCGCAGGCAAAGCCATCGGCATTCAACACGTAGCCGGCAGGGCAAGAGCAGGTGAAGCTTCCGACGTTGTTATTGCACGTTTGTGCACACCCACCGTTGCTATTGGCGCATTCGTCGACATCTGAAAAGAAAGACATCACAACTTTATATCTTATGGCATCTACTGGTACATAACTATAGTTCCGTAAAGCATATCTACATAGGCCCAACAAAAAAACCTTCGCAACTAGAGAAGTAACATTTGCAAAGCAAATGCATATTGTTTACCTTAGGACATGGTCTGCTCTGTTAATTCTTACTCAAACACATTGACATACATGTACTACTAGTATATGGTGACAGGAGCAGAGCAGACCATGAAATTGCAACATTATGTAACCCAAAACCAGTCACCATGGTAACAGACGTCAACAAATCATGTCATTGGTCAGGTCATAGGTCACTGTTTGGAGAAGAAGAGGAGGAAGAAACTGAGTAAAAACAATATGTTTTTCTTCGGTAAACATAAAAATAAAAATGGTATGCCGGGAAGAGAAAGGCGCATTGATTAAGAAAGTATTTGCTCACTAGGAACAGAGACTAGTTAAGATACTCAGGCTCTTATATATGCGTTTTGGACATAATGCTACAAAAAGTCGCCTGTTGTTAATTTTTACATGTCAGAAAGCACACTGTCCTGTTATGTACTTGTCATTCTAAACGTTCTACAATATATTGCATTGGTTATCTAATGGTAATTGCTGCACTGGAAACAGAAACGTAAGCTTAATTACAATAATATGTAAATCAGCAGCACCTACCGCCGCAGCTGCCATCATTATTGAAAGTGTACCCAGTAGGACAGGAGCACTGCGCGCCGTCGGTATCGATGGCGAGGGAGATGACCATACGATTTGCAGTTCCAACATCGGAAGAAGCTATTAAGCAAATGGGAAAACAGGATATTGCAAATTTCTTTTACACAACCAGTAATGCCTCTTACCTTGCTGACGTTTCGATATCTGTCAGACACCTTCCTCAGAGCCTCTGACTCGAGTTCTGCTTCTTGGCGCTATATGTAGCCAAAGTAGGTGCACTGCTTTTGCGGCAATAAAACAACCCAACCCTTTTTGGCGACATCTCAGGGAGGAGCCTAATGGTACAGTATTGTGTGCAATTTTCAAGAATTCTAGGAATTGTACAGGCATTTTGTCCACAGGAATGGAATGTCCACAGGCATGTCTCTGACCCACATCTATGCCCACATTCCTGGAAACCCTTATCGGGAAACCTTTATGGGGGCTCATTCACTATACACTCGGGAGGAGTGCACTGTATCTGAACAGGTACCGAGTCTTCCTCATAATCATGAAATGATGGCAGTACTATGCAAACAATAACCATAACAGCAACCACCGTCGCCATGGCAATGTATGTTTTCACTGCCAGTCTTGTCTGACTGTGTATCCCCCCTCGTCCCGGTTCATCACTGTTTTGGATTGTGTTCTCACCACAAAAGCGCCACCTACATTGGCTACATACAGCGGCGAGAAGCAGAACTCCCGTCAGAAGCTCTGAGGAATGTGTCTGATAATTGCATAATGGGAGAGAGACAGAGAGGAGGGGCAGAGGGAGAGAGAGAGAGAGGGAGGGAGAGAGAGAGGGTGAGAGGGAAGGAGAGAGAGAGAGACAGAGAGAGAGACATAGAGACAGAGAGAGAGACTGAGACTTACAGGCCCATCTGGCGTATCCGCTCCTCTTCGAGTACTTGATATACGGCAGGTTGTACGTAGATACCCGCTCCCACCAGCAGAAACCTGATGTATAACCGCCCTCGGCCACCATCATCCACCCCAGGTCTCCTTCGCATCCGTTATGGCTGCGACTGAGGTAGAACCTCCTGCGATAAAGGAAGTCATGCAGCACTGGAATTAGCTAGTAGTCCTAGTATCGATCTGTACCTGCATAGCCGGTATAACCGGCCTTTGGCGTAACACACCAGCTTCTGTATCTGTGTAGCCGGTATAACCGCCCTTCGGTGTAAAACACCAGCTTCTGTATCTGTATAGCCGGTATAACCGCCCTTCAGTGTGACACACCAGCTTCTGTATCTGTACAGCCGGTATAACCGCCCTTCAGTGTGACACACCAGCTTCTGTATCTGTACAGCCGGTATAACCGCCCTTCGGCGTAACACACCAGCTTCTGTATCTGTATAGCCGGTATAACCGCCCTTCGGCGTAACACACCAGCTTCTGTATCTGTATAGCCGGTATAACCGCCCTTCGGCGTAACACACCAGCTTCTGTATCTGTATAGCCGGTATAACCGCCCTTCGGCGTAACACACCAGCTTTACAGGTAACGTTACACGGTGCAGCAGTAGCTAGCTTTATTATGTAACACCGAACGACCTGTTACACCCAATCTTTGCATATTAAATTGCAGGAGTTGTTGAAAACACACAGACAGACAAACACACACACTGACTTACCTTTTGACATTTGTTTCCCCTGGTATTGAGAAAAAGTTTTGAGGCTCGGTACTGATATCGTCATATGATGATGACAACATGCGCGACTTGGAGAACCAGTCAAACTTGTTTGAATTTTCACCATTGAATAGAAACTCCTTGTCTCCATCGGGCGTATTCAGAACAACCTTCACCTGTAATATGAATATATACATCAACTCATTTACCAAAGGTTTTTACCGAAAGTACATTGCTACTGTGATGTTGTTGATGTGAAACATCAGAAAGATGGAAGTAAGGCCACAGCAAGTAAATTTTATGGATGACTCCAAATCTAATACGAGCGGGCGAAAAAAAACAAGGCGGGCCGAAAAAAACAAGGTTCCTACAGTTTAACTTTTGACTCAATCAGTGTACAAATGGTTTTGATTCAGTGGGAACATCACATATACACAGTCAGCATCACATATTACTGCATCAAAGTAAGAAACAAACATTAAATCAGCGTCTTTTCTTGTCTCCTTTCTTTATAGTTATCTGCCATCCACATTCCAGCATGGCAACAGACATCTTTGCCCATCTCCGGCATGTTGACCACTGTCAGAAGGCAACAAATTTTTTTTTTCCAAAATCAGGCGAAAATTAATGCGCGCGCGGATGTCATCCATAAAAATTACTTGCTGTGGGCTAATCGTATAACCTTCCAAATTACATATTAGACAATTGCGATGTTACATATGACAAAACAATCTTTTAAACCAAGGAGGTTGTACAAAACTAATGCGATTATCGTGCACACACGTGGCAAATAAAGCAGAAAGCCAAATACCCAGATAAATGGTTGTGAAGAAAGAACTTTGCTATCCAATATGTTTCATAATCGAAAGTTCATCACAAATTTGTCTGTGCTTAATAATAGGCATATGAAGTAGGGAAACATTATATCAGACTATAAAGTTCTGATCTCTCTCTGCTGTGTAATTTACATTCTTTTACAAACTATTACATGTACTAGTGTTCAATTCTTTCTATATCGCAGTATTGACAAAATTGTCGTTCCAGGTCTCGATATGTGACCGTGGCAGCTGATTCGCAGTTCGAGCACCGACACACAGGTGACATTGAAGAGCTTGATCTTTGTGGCTATGGGGAGATTTGGGTTTCTCCAGATCTTTTGAAGTTTCCAGAAAGCGGTCCAAGCGAGCGCCTTCCGCCTGGCCCATACATAGATGCAAGGTGAGACAATTTTTTTGTCCATTTTTTTTTCATTCTAATTACTATGTGCAGCAAAGAAGTGCAGTGCGCGAGCTCTCTAGGGGGGCTTTGTCGCCATTCATATATGCTCTCAAACACTTGGTAAATTTCTGCATTTTGAGGGGCAAATTTTGAAAATTTTTTATGTTTTTTTTTTCCTTTAGTTAACTATCATTTTTGTATTTATAGTAAGGCTGAATTAAGGGAGGCATGTGTCCATGGCAGGGGTTGGGAGTGGAAAAAATGGGGTGTCTGTAGGGTGTCCTACCAAAAAGTAGGGCGTCCAATTTCTTCTTATTTTCAGTACAGGGCGTCCAAAAGACACCCTGGATACCCCCTAGCTAAAAGCCAGTCTACCACCCTGATGTAACTATGTTCGGTACGCCATGCTCACCAATTTGATGGGAAGTGTGTCCCAGAGGTCCAGAATCGGGCACTTGACGTGTCGAATCTCGGCACCTGGACTGGCCGCCCAGGCATCGTAGACGGACTGTCCTGTGCCTTTGACAGTAGAAAATACTTCCAGCGATTCTGTAGAAACATAAGAAAAGCTTTAAAAAAACTTGCCGGGCCTCAAAGGAGAACTAGATGGAGGCATCGCCAACCTGAAAGTGACTTTCGCGCCAGCAATCCTTGATCCACAACTTCAATATTTTACATAGACACTCCCGGTCTATGAACCGATATTGCAATTGCAACATTTTGTATATTTTCGACATGTTACCTCACTTACCTTCAGTTTTAAAAACACACTACCGGTACGTCACACAACACGACACAACGAAATGCAGCTTACCTAAACATCCAACTCCGTCAAGGCGACCATCTCCCATGTATCCAGATTTGCAAGCGCAAGTGGCTCCAGGCGCAGGGTGAAAGTTGTCGGTACAGTCGGCGTTCGCATGGCACCCCGGATTTTCCGGGTGGTCAGCCGCGCAAAAATCCTCGTCTAGTTGCGGATAATACGGCAAGGAGTAACACGTTAATGTAAAAGAACACACACACACACACAGGCACACACACACACACACACACACAAACACATACACGGACATGCATTCACAGACACACACACACAGGCACACACACACACACACACACACACACACACACACACACACACACACACACACACACACACACACACAAAGATGCACACACACACAGATGCACACACACACAGGCACACGCACACACAGGCACACACACACACAGATACACACACACACACAGGCACACACACAGACACACACACACACACACACAGATACACACAGACACACACACACACACACACACACACACACACACACACACACACACACACTGCAAAACTGTTTACATTACGAACAGGTTAAACAGTTACATAGAAAAGGCAGGAGGTATCGTACCGATAGCGTCGCCGACAGTAGCCAGGTCAGTTCTCCTGGTCCAACGGCCAGGAGGTCCCGGCACAGCCGGATCGGTCCATGTCGGCAGGTTGTACAGATTAGTGGTTCTCGAGTACGGGTGAAGAGCATAGTGGACTCCGTTCCCTCCGTTTATCCCAACCTTTTAACAATAGAAAAGTCAGACCGCATGCAGACTCCATTTCTTGTACTTCTTGGATCATGAAATTCATTAATGAAAACGTCCCACTTTTTTTGTAATGTACATGTAATGTGTGGGTTTTCGGATGTTAAGAGAAGAATAGTTTCAAAATATATTATTTGCCAGTCTTATGGAGCAAAAAATACGATATAAAAGATAACTAAGCACAAAAAATTGATTATTGATTTTAAATTGTCATTTGTCGTTAATCGAAACAGCCTGGCCAGGCCCCGGTTTGGAAATGTGACCTTAGCATAAGCAGTAATTAAAGTACATGGCAGGCCACATCAAACCAATATACATTGGCGGTCTTCTACTAAAGGTCTCCCGTGCTCTATGCAGAGCATTGGGTTTGGTGCCCATGTCCATTTCTGTAGCCCTTGGGCGACACACAGTTGTGCAGGGCACTACAGCAGGGGGCTAGTCCGCTGGTAGTGCTGTGTGTTTGACCTTCCCACTCTCTTTCTCATATGTGCTGAGTGCTAAGCAGAGAAAGAAGTGTGTACCATTTTTAAAGTCTTTGGTATGACCCGGCCGCGGTTTGAACTCACGACCTCCCGGTTACAAAGCGAGCACTCTACCAATTGAGCTATTGCACCGGTACTTCTGCTAAATCAAATGTTAAACTAAACTGGACAGGCAATATGCATTGCACCAGACAACATATACTGTCTTTTGCTGAATGAAATATTCTTTAAAATGCTTGGGGAGTAGTAATGATTCGGAAGAAAAAGGGAGAGCCAATATTTTTCATGTTAATTTCATTTCATCTCGATTTATGCATACCATTGTTTCATTATTGTTATTGTATCATTTTGCCTATGTTTGAATTATTTTGCTAACAATACCTTATGTATATGTATTATTTCATTTCAATTTTTTTAGTTTTGGGTAGTATAGAGGAGGAAGGCTTAGCATAAGCTAAATAAGCTTTTCCCCTCCTCCTGCACATGTTTTATTTATTATTATTGTATTATGTATAATTTTATTTCATTGCTGTTGTGCAAATAAATAAACTAAAACAAAATATGCATACCTGCGCTGGGTTTGGTCCTGTGCCGGTAGCTCCATTACCACCGTTGGTCTCCCCTTGTAAGAAGTCGATCCGGGCGTAGTTATACAGGGTGAAGGACTTTTGGCCGTCCGTGATCAGCACAAGTTGAAACGTGTTCCGCTTTACGAGTAACAGACATGTATATGGTTAGGTTTTTTTAGGTTTTATCCATCAACAAGTAACAATATAGGAGAACCGGTGCAATGGCCAAGTGGTGGAATGTCTCCTTTAATCTGTCAGAGGCCACATTGACTTAATTTTATGGATGACATTCGCGCGCGCATTGATTTTTGCTTGTTCTAAAAAAAAAGGTCACGTCCACCGAGGCTCTTGGCCTGAGTAGTCCATAGTGGTTAGCGACAATACGGCTCCGGGCACCCAGGCTACCGGAGCTCCACGACTCAAGAACTCAGTATATACGTACAGTGCCGATTCATAAAACACAGCATGTGCCGGCTTGTCATATACGTTGCTATGCACTGCCGCGAATTCAAAATACCAGCCATGTATTCCCGTGGTTTAGGAGCATTTTTATTTTTGGCCGGAATTTTTTTTTATTCGCCAGCGCGCACTAGTTTGGGGGTTTTCAGAGGATGTCATCCATAAAATTAAGTCGGTGTGGCCTGACATAGAAACACAGGGATTACATATGGACATTTTAAAAAAAGAACTTACAAGATTTCCACCGTATCCGCTCTCGTCATATAGCCCCACTTCGTGCCAGGTTGCGATGTAGACCCAGGTCGCCACGAAACTTCCATGGTCGGCGGGGAAGGCTGTCTGGATGTCCCCGGTTGCCCTGGCCAATATAGCAGCGTCAGTTGTTTCCCGATGGTAAATGTAACCAGACCGTCCTCCGTTGCTTGTCTTGATGTCGGTGAAGTAAACGGCGAGGACCCTGTTGTTCGTCACTGGAAACGGTCTAGGTGTGTAACTTGTTACCGCTACTCCGAAGGAGATGTCACCGTTGGTGTTGACCTGGGGAAAACGCCAAAATAAAAACCTTTACTTTGTAAAAGAACAGAGACAGGGGGCGACACAAGTTATCTGGCACGTATGACCCGCTACTACGGTCACGTGTCTCTGACGTCACGTTCCAAGAGTAGACGGGTCAATTCCGGATCCGTGAACGAGGTTGACGGAGTCAGCCGAAAATTTGGGGTAAGTCCCAATTATTCTATATATAGAGTGTTGGAAGTTAAAGTTTAGTCTTTATTTCATATTGTAAAAGAGATATTAAAGCGGTACAGATTGATTAACATTCGATGATGAAACTTTCTGCATCCACATCATTAACAACAACAGCAGTTATACATGTAGGACAAGCTGCTTGGGTGGGAGGGGGGGCTATGTTATTTTTTACCTAGCACAAAAGCTATCTACCACCCAATATCTGTAACTCTAGTATCTTCAGATGACTTGATTTGAAACCGCTGTAGTACCAAAACAAGCCGCTAGGGAGCCCCAACTCTAGTCATTTTGAGGTCTCATCGGGACCTACCCACCAATAAGGTTTTCTGACAAAAACAAACAATATAGTAGCCAAAAACAAACAATGCAATAATTAACAAATAATTCCACATAGTACGGCACACTTACGAAAAGTTCATTGTAGGTATTTCCAAAGAACGGGAAAGCTGTGCTGAGGGCCTGCGGTCCCGATGTGCTGTCATCAGCGGTCGGGTCCAGAATGTCGCCAGTACCGGGTCCGTACGGGTAGAAGGCAGCATGGCTCACTGGGGTTATCTGGAAGGCGATAGATTGGACTTATCACCTCCATGAAAATGGAGGTATTGTTTTTGCCGCGTCTGTGTGCGTGTGTGTGTGTGTGTGCGCGCGCGCGTGTGTGTGTGTGAGTGTGTGTGTTTGTGTTTCCGCACATTTGTACCTTCATAACTCCATAACGCCTTTATGGATTGTGATGATATTTGTTATGCTGGTAGGTCTTGGTGGTGGCTGGTGGTACAAAAACTCAAATATTTCATGTAGGTATGAAGTCTCTCGAATTCTTGTTGAAATTGCAGCAGTGCAATACACGCGGAACAGAGGCAGCTGTTGCTGGTGTTGTGTCCCACACATAGAAACGAATACCGGACAGACAACACTCATTTTCAACAGCAGCGTGCGCGACGTGGAATCAAGAGGTCCCGGGTTCGAGTCCTGACATGCCACCGATCTTGTGCCCTCGGGAAAGGCATTTTACACGACTTTCCCCACTAGACTCAAGGCGATAGAGATCGATTACTTTTATATAAAAGGTGGCCAGTTGTGTTTTGGTGATAATAATGATAATACTAATAAAAGGTTTATTGGTCAAACATTAGCCATGCAATCGCAGCCTTTTATAGCGCTGAATTGATGCAGGGTTTACAATCACATAATACACATGATGCAAAGTGCTGTGGACCTTAACTCAACTTAAGGCCCAGGTCCTGATCTAAGTCAGGAGGTTTAGATTGGATATACCTTTATACTCTGAAATCACAAATTGTTAAAAAGAAAAGAAAGAAAAGGTGTTCTCTTGGTCATAAGCACGTGCACTGGACAGAATGTTACATTTACAAACGGTACTAAACACCAGTAAAGTCGGGTAATGTTTAATGGTAACGTTAACGTTAACGTTACAATGGTGGGTAAATAAAGTCAATGCCATTGTAGAGTCCGGTGCCGTTTTAACAGTAAACATTACCCAACTTTACTTATATCTACTACCAGTAGTAGTCCAACCTTTCGTGTAGTGTTATTAAAGGACAACAGAGTGAACCTACCTGAGCCGAAGTCATCGCCAGAGAACCCAGCAGAAAAGCGGTCAGGACAAGTTGTCGCATCTTGTCGTTCCTTGTCGTGTGTTGTCGCATCTTGTCGTTCCTTGTCGTGTGTTGTCGTGTGTTGTCGACTCGCTGTGCACGATCAGGTTGACTCTGACTGGAGCCTAGAGACGACCCCAGATAGGTGGGGGCACGTACCCGTCAATAAAAAATACCAAGGGGTGTTCTGTAAAAAAAAATAAAAATTTTCAATGAGTTGTTTATTGCAAGTTCTTGCAAACAGACATTGACAAGAGAAATGTGGTACTATAAAACTATATGCTAACATGAAGTTCTACTTGTACGATATACTTATTATACTTACTACTACTATCTCTACTTAAATCTAATAACGTTGGTACCCAAGATAAACAGTGGATAGGCAATACATAAACAGGTAAGATGAACAAGGTAACTGCTATTCTAATCTAATCTATTCTATTCTATCAAACTATTCTTGCTATTAGGGAGTTTGACTTCTTCTCAGGAGGTAGTGGGAGATGAATTGTCCGACTCTTTGAAAATTGAATGGGTTGGGAAACTTTAGCAGTAATATAGTCTTTTGTTGTTTGTTGAGATATGAAAAACTTGGGGAAATATTGGCGACTTCCTTGAATAACTTTTTTCTTTCAAAATCGTAATGAGGACACTGACAAAAATTCCTGTTTCATTTTGAGGTCCCGAAAAGGACAGTCACTACTTGCATTATTAGTGCGACTAACACTTTCTGATGATAACGACAGCAACAACGAACCAAAAGCAAAACAATTTGCGACACAAGTATATATCTTGAAAAGATTGCTCTGACATTATTATTCATATTTCATTTAGTTATCTTTCAAAGACATTTAATAGAACAAACTACTGACTGTGTATGTGCTCTCCCAAACACGGGACCTCCATTTAAAGTCGTATCCTATCCGAAACTAGGTACGAATTTTCACCTGAGTAAAGTGAGGAAAGTCGAGTAAAGTGCCTTTCCCAAGGGTAAAACGTCGGGGCATGTAGGTAGAATCGAACCCAGGACCCATGGGTTCCGGGCCTAATGCCCTACCATCACACCACACAAGTGTTAGACAATCTCACACTGCCAGGGGCGAACTAGTCCGCATGACGCATCGATGGGCCATCAGGTGTTACAAACAGGTGTATAAATGTGACGTTTATGTAATTTTTTTAAAATGTTTAGAAATGTAGCATTATGACAGTAAACATTGGAAAAGCGTCATTGTCGTTTTTTCCCAAAAAAAATTAGAAATCATGTGGACATTCCAGAGAGGCGTAATTATCCGAAAACTGGAGTGGACCGATTTTGATTGATATGCCTTTGCTGTCCCATAGTAAACAAACATTTCACTGGCACTGCAAAATTTTGTAGCCTGTGTTGTCTCGTTTTTGTCTTTGTGGTTTGAGGTGACAACATCAACTTGCTGATGATTCTGCTAAACTGTAGAATTGGGCTGTAGAATTTGGACCATCGCACACCGGGGCATGCCCCTACTCTTTTTCGAAAAACACGGGACCTCCATTTTATGTCCTATCCTATCCGAAGCTAGGTACCTTCACCTTTCACCTGAGTCAAGTGAGGAAAGTCGTGTAAAGTGCCTTTCCCAAGGGTAAAACGTCGGGGCATGTAGGTAGAATCGAACCCAGGACCCATGGGTTCCGGGCCTAACGCCCTACCATCACACCACATAAGTGTTAGACAATCTCACACTGCCAGGGGCGAACTAGTCAGTATGACGCATCGATGGGCCATCAGGTGTTACAAACAGGTGTATAAATGTGACATTTATGTAATTTTTTTAAAATGTTTAGAAATGTAGCATTATGACAGTAAAAATTGGAAAAGCGTCATTGTCGTTTTTTTCAAAAAAAAATTAGAAATCATGTGGACATTCCAGAGAGGCGTAATTATCCGAAAACTGGAGTGGACCGATTTTGATTGATATGCCTTTGCTGTCCCATAGTAAACAAACATTTCACTGGCACTGTAAAATTTTGTAGCCTGTGTTGTCTCGTTTTTGTCTTTGTGGTTTGAGGTGACAACATCAACTTGCTGATGATTCTGCTACACTGTAGAATTGGGATGTAAAATTTGGAGCATCGCACACCGGGACATGCCCCTACTCTTTTTTGATATGTCGGGTGGGTTCTTTAACGTGCTGAGGTTTAGTTCCCCCAAAACACAGGACCTCCATTTTACGTCCTAACCTATCCGAAGCTAGGTACTCATTTTTACCCGTGTCTAGCGAGGGGTCGTGTGGCGCAGCGGCAGCGTTCTCGACTCGGAACCAGAGGTCCCTGGTTCGAGTCCTGACATGCCACCGATCTAGTGCCCTTGGGAAAGGCACTTTACACGACTTTCCTCACTTTGCTCAGGTGTGAATGAGTATTGTACTGTCCCTGTGTTGGTGTCGACATTAATATAAGTTGAAAAAACTTGAATGTGACGTCACCACGTCTTGTAATTACATGTTTCGGAATAAAAAAAAAGTCGCGTAAAGTGGATTTCCCAAGGGTGAATCGTCGGGGCATGTAGGTGGAATCGAACCCAGGACCCATGAGTTCCAGACCTAATGCCCTACCATCACGCCACAGTAGTGGCGTCGGTGGCGCAACGGTTAGAGCTCGGAACCGAGAGGTCCCGGGTTCGATACTCACCGTGGCCCGACGTTGTGCCCCTGGGAAAGGCACTTTACACGACTTCCCCACCATGTACGGTGGAGTGACGCCCACCAAGCCTCTTAGGCTAATCTGTCACCCGGGTGCCAAAAACACCTTACGGATTTGGTTCGCCGATGTGACAACATCTCATATTGGCCACTGAGAGCCGTAAAATTTATCTTTTTTTTATCACGCCACACAAGTGTTAGACAATTAGCCTCTACCAGGCACCGCGGATCGCTGGAACAATAGTAGAAATTGGCCGAAATAAAGGGATAGTACACCAGAGAAGATCCAGCCGGCCATAGAAGCTCCAATTTGCGACCCACGGGTCGCAAATTGGAGCTTCTATTAGACAATCTCACACTGCCAGGGGCGAACTAGTCCGCATGACGCATGGGTGGACCATCAGTGTTACAAACAGGTGTATAAATGTGACATTTATGTAATTTTTTAAAAATGTTTAGAAATGTAGCATTATGACAGTAAACATTGGAAAAGCGTCACTGTCGTTTTTTCCCAAAAAAAAATTAGAAATCATGTGGACATTCCAGAGAGGCGTAATTATCCGAAAACTGGAGTGGAACGATTTTGATTGATATGCCTTTGCTGTCCCATAGTGAACAAACATTTCACTGGCACTGCAAAATTTTGTAGCCTGTGTTGTCTCGTTTTTGTCTTTGTGGTTTGAGGTGACAACATCAACTTGCTGATGATTCTGCTAAACTGTAGAATTGGGATGTAGAATTTGGAGCATCGCACACCGGGACATGTCCCTACTCTTTTTCGAAATGTTCCAGGTGGTTTCTTTAACGTGCTGAGGTTTAGTTCCCCCAAAACACGGGACCTCCATTTTACGTCCTAACCTATCCGAAGCTAGGTACTCATTTTTACCCGTGTCTAGC